ACTTTGCAACCTTTCAGAAAGCCCAGGGGAACGTTCGTATGGAACTGCCATCTTACAGTATTATTGGTAACTCCAAGACTCATGATAACGGTCCTAACTCAATATAAGCCGTAAGGAGTTCGGGCGAAACTAAAGACCTCAGTAATAACTTCATATAACGTCGAAAAGTCCTTTTACTATCACTCAAGGCAAAAAATCCTCATATTTTTCATCCATAACTTCATGGGCAGAGCCCAACGGGGAAGAAAGTACGATGATCTCTCCCCACATGATATTATTAGTGACAGAAAGAATATGAATATTAGATTTCACATCTCCAAGTATCTGACTGTGATAATGCTTGCATTACTAATATCATGAGGGATGAGAACTAAATACTTCAATAAACTATGTGCCTTATTAATAAAAAAATATCAATCGTTAATCAAACGGTTAGAATTCACATTATCTAGAAATAATAAAACAACAACCTACATTAGGTTTTCAGTCAGACATACCAGGACCCAGAAATATATCTACAGGGGTAGAGTATACAGATATGTCGCCATCATAGTGGAATTAGACAGAGTAAAGTTTTGATTTGTGTACAATTTTAGAATTTTTCATCTATAGTTAAGTAATCAAGATTGCGTATTTTTTATCAAAATTTTTATATGTAAAAAATTAGTTTGCATATTTTTAGCCTAAATTTGGCTAATCTTATATATATAATATATTTACTGTATGTACTTATTTAATTAACTGCATTGTAATATTTAGTATTAATTGAAAGAAATTTCTAAGGGTTAAAAAGTGAAATTTTAGAAAAATATTATTAAAAAAATGGTAAATTCTATTTTTTCACATTAGTATTTGGTTTTATAAATAATATAGAAGTCATGATAAAATAATTAATAACTTAATGTCTGAAATTTTATTTACATATTTTTGCAGGATTTTCAATATATATCAGGTATCAATTATGCGTACTACTCATATAAAAAGTTTCATAGTAAAAAAATTTTTCACTACGCACCTGACCCCTATATATATATTTCTGGATTCTAACATACCACATGGTATTTTGGTTTCAGGTTGTTGTTCACAGTTGTGTGCCATAACTATATCAAAAAATAGAAAAGTGTGTTGAAAATGTAAGAAATAGGTTATTCAACAACCATCTAAGGTCCCGTTAGAGAATGCAGTCTTTAAGGATTCAATATACAAAGAAGAGAAGGAAATTTATTTGCCAAAGAGAGGGATAAGTTTCATCAAACAGCTTGCTTATAAAGATAAAAAGCCTTACAAACGTCATGAAGGTAGTACTTCTATACAATATTGAGTCATCTATTTTTGTTATAAAGAAGATGACCTGGAATTTAGAACTAGAAAAGCAGAAATACTTATGAAGAGAAGAGTTAGAGGTTTAGCAAATAATAAGAGCAAGTGGCAGATTTTAAATAACAGTGATGTTTTATTAACACCACTCTTCCGCTTATCTTACCATGTATTCAAAATAAAAGAAGCAATACTTAAAAAGGTATACATTAAATCGAGTGATCTTGCACATTTATACAGCGAAATTAACATCAAATAACATTTCAATGATTTGAATGATGAAATTATCCTCAATTATACTTATGATGAGGAAGATTTTGCTATTATTAGAAGTTTCAAAGAAGAATAGTTACCGGCTGTACATGTCTTAGCGGATGAAGATTATAGACATGTAGAATATTTATACATAAAAAGTAAGTTAACGCTCAAAGAAGTAGATGAGCTACATGATAAATGTACACATGGTAATATTAGGTTCAATATGTTAAGAAGTTAAGAATCGATCCTTGGTATATTAAATGTAGAAGTGAACTGATAGAAACTAAAACTGCTAAAAAAAAAATGAAAGCAAGAGAAAAAAAGTGGTTACGTGATAAGAAATAGCATGGTCATGCTCAAATGCTGTAAAATAGAAACAGAACTATTGGTTTTTGGTTTTTACAATTTGATTTGTATGTTTTTATCTTTTAAATAGAATTTTCCTTAAGTTAAACATTCTACACCTTACAGTATTTATATGTAGCTAACCAGTTTTTAGGTTAGAAAAAACAATATGGGCTTTAATTAAAGTTGCATTGGGCAAATTTTTAGGTAGATCTTGACAGTCACCTAAAATTTTTGGTTGTATTATTGTTTTTAATAGTGATATAAGTATCTAGGTGACAGGTTGACTTTTTCTGAGTAGTCTTTTTCATAATACTTAGTTCTTATATATATTATATTTTTCTTATTTTTATAAGTTTAGTATATGTAAGTAGATGTAATTATATTAAAACAAAATTGTATCTATAGAAATTAATAAAAAAAAAAAAAAAAATTTTTTTTTAATTTAGAAATTTCATTTAAAATAATAATATATATTATAATTGCTTACTGTATATTTCATAAAATTTATGAATTGTTTATATAATATATAAATTTAATATTAATAAACATATATAAACTACATCAGGAAATTTGTTTAGGCGTAATTTAGTGTAATATTTCGAAGGTGGTGTAAAATTTCGAAATATTACACTAAAAACGTAATATTACAAAAGTTTACGCTCTTAAATTTGAATAATTATAGTAATTTAAGAATATCTCGCTATCTACTGATCCAATCAAGACGATCTATAGCTCATTGGAATCAGCTCATCAAGACGAATCGAATGGTAGTAAAATCGTATCTTTACGTTTGATAGATGACTTTCTATTAATTTAAAACTTTACTGCATACTATAGAGCGTTCTATCAACTGTAGAAATGCGATTTTACTACCATTCGATCCGTCTTGATGAGCTGATTCCAATGAGCTATAGATCGTCTTGATTGGATCAGTAGATAGCGAGATATTCTTAAATTACTATAATTATTCAAATTTAAGAGCGTAAACTTTTGTAATATTACGTTTTTAGTGTAATATTTCGAAATTTTACACCACCTTCGAAATATTACACTAAATTACGCCTAAACAAATTTCCTGATGTAATTTAAAATACTTTATTTTATTTTACTTTTGTAAATATATTGTATTACTTTAACATAATTATCAATAAACATGATCGCACCTTTACATAGAAAAAAAAAAAAAAATTAATAAACATATATAAATCATTAAAATAATAATAATAATAATAATATTTGTGAAGAAAAATATGATTTTTTACTATTATAATAATATAAAAACTGGTATAAATAATGAAATAAATATTTCACTTATTTATAAAATAAGTAAAAGGAAATTTTATGTTACATTATTATGATTTTTTTCTTTTTAGCTAGTTAATCAATAGAATTTAAGAAAAAAATAAGGTAAAAAACTACCTTAGCATTATTTCAAAAAATACTGGTTAGCTAATATTATGTGAAATTATGCATTATTACGTGAACAGTAGTATAGTAATAAATATAACAAATAAGTTTTTACTAATTCAAAAAAAAACTAAATTTCTTTGATAAATATAAATAATGAAAACAATTGAGATGTGATAATTTTTATATAGTCACGTAATTTTTTTTGAAATAACACTAGGTTAAGTAAAGTAAAAATTATTAGTAAAAGACCAATTTTTACAGTAATCTTTATTATAAGTAATGGAATTCTTTCTAGTTATATCATCTTTTTATTATACTAGTAAATCAAAAATAGAATATATTTATTCAATTCAATTATGTTTCTATATAAATAATTTATATTTGACCTTTTCTTCAATAGATTTTAGAATTTTCTTAGCAAATTATCTATTTAATATACTAATGAACTTGCTTGTGTTAATTAAAGAATCTAATGATATTAATAATCTACTAATAATCCAATCTGATATATTCTTTATAAAAATAATATTGGAATGGATTATTTAGTACAGTTTTACTTATTTAAAATATAACTTAAGTAGCAATTTGAAAGATATTAAATAGTTTACATATATTGGTTACTTTACTTTTCAGTTTAACCTGATAGTTTTTTTTTATTATATATTTTTTAGAAGATTGTTTAGCTTTTATTTTTGTTTTGTTTATTTAGAACTTTACATGTTTATGTATTATTTTTGAAATTCTTGTATAAATTTAATAAAGATAAAAGATTACTAAGCCTGATTTACATCTAAAAATCACCAGTATGAGTTATAAATAATACCATTATAAAATACTTGAAAATTCCATTATATAGGTTAATTTTTATATATAATATTCAGGTATTTTGAAATTTTTTTAAAAAATATACTATATAAAAAAGTAAAATCTGCATTGAATCAGATTTAAAATTTTTGGATTAAACATTTAGTTTTGATTTTATATATTACAGACCAACTTATATTTTAATTATAAAGAAGCAATTATTATTAGTTATATTTTTTAAATAACTTACTAATTATTAATATTAACATAAAAATTTTATAAAACTAACAAATATAAGAAACAATTATTTATATTTGTTATGCTTTATAGTAAAATTAAATATAGTATAATACATATAATTTTAGATCGAAACTGGTAAAAATTTTATATATTAAAATTTTTTAATATAAAATTAATACAATTATATTTCTTATTATTAAAAACATAAGTAGGTAAAATATTATTTTATTAATTATATCTAATTTTATATATGATTATAGACAGTATTTGGCATTTAATTTGTTGATTTAGCTCGATTAATAATAGAAGTTTGTAGTATTGAAATAAGCTTTTCAGTTTATTAAAAAATCTTAATTTTTTAAATTACTTAATAGTTTCAAACTATTAACTTTAAATGGTTTTTTTCAGTTATAATGAAAGGAATAAGCAAGAAAAAAATTTTATTATTTACGTATATATAAGACAATTACAGGATGAAGTCATGTCATTGTTCAATCGAACATCAAATTAAGGGATAAACGGCCGAAGCCGATCGATACTTAATCAGTGATAATAACGCAGTGTGATGATAAAGAGTGCTGCCATATTACAGCTCTCGATTCGTTGTATACTGTATCAGTACATTTTTTTTTTGTTTCTTTCTATTAGAAATTTTTTATTAAAAAACAATCTCTTAATCTCAAAACGAAAAAAAAACTTTATATAACAGCCGATCATAAAGAAATAAATTTCACAATGAACGCCGCTACATCTATTCCAACGACACAAACTCAGCAAAAGCCAGGTTTCCGAAAAATAATGACTTGGAATAATAAAAGAAGCAGTAAAAAACTTCCTCATTTGTCTTATGATAGTGCGCCTGGTATGTTTATAATAATTTTCTTAACCTTTCTTAAAAGGTTTTATGGTATTTTTGTTTTCGTGGTTATTGTGTTGTGAACATATGCTCTTAGATGTTTATTTTTCTGAATATAAGATTTCGTGGTGGGCTGTCTAAACTAAAACGCGGAATCTGAACTTTATAACTAATGACTTTATGACCACTTCTTTTCACACCTACATCATACTCCTTATGTAATCACAAAATAATATATTCCTTTTAACTCTGCCTCAAATTCTATGATAGAAGGAGACGACAAAACATCGCCTGTACCAGCAAGCCCTACTCATAGTTTGAGGAGTCTTAAAACAGGACGACCTTCTCTATTTGCAACTTTTGCACGCAGAAATTCTACTAAGAGTGAACATTCTTCAAGGAGCCGTTCACCTACAAGTCCTAGACCTTCTAACGACTTAATCTTTACTTCCGATGGAATCCGTACTCCAAGCCCAACACCATCACGAAATTCAATGATCTTTGAGCGGGACATAGAATTCCATGATCATCTTAGTGTACACGAGGCTATTGACCTCGCTATTCCTCCTGTCCTAGACGACGCAGCTGAAGCATTCGTAAATGAAGAAATACCTACTATCCTCACAGAAGAGAATGTTAATGAGCCTGGAAGTGAATCTAAATCGGATAATGGAAAAGAGAAGGCCAAGGTCAACGAAAATGGAAACGGCAAACAAGGAGTAAATGGTGAGAATCCTAGAGTTAGTACATTGGTAGAAAATGAAGGACGAAAACGACTTTCGTTATTAATAAATTACGGAGACATTGCCAATGGCCGGACGAGTCCTAGTCCATTTGATCATACACACACACTTTCCGAGACCTTAAGAGTAACAACACCAAAGGAAATGAATGGCTTAACCGGAATGTTTGATAATTCTGGAAAATAACCATTTAGCTTCAATTCATGGAAAAGGAAAGTTGGTTCCGCCATGAGCTGTGCAAATGGACCAGGTAAGCGATAAAATTTTCATTCGGTTCTCATTGTATTTTTTTGGTTGGCTTTCGGTTCATGAAAAATTTTTCTTTCCTTGCATATATCATATAATTTGCCGATAAGTTCGTCGGCAGTACGGTGATTAAAATAGAGGGCCAACTATATAATTAATTTGCACTTTATATATTTCTATTGCAGATTCAATAAATACTTGTTTATAGTCTTTCCTTTTAATATTCTTAGTAATTTTTGAATTTCAATGATTTTGTAGGAAATAATTAATGATGTATATATTATACATATGAGAATCGCAAGATACCGGGCAAAAGGCAGTTTTGGGTGCACAGCTAATTTGTATTATTCATTATCACATTTTTTTTTTCTTTGCTATATATATTATAAATACATATATACATACATATACTCATTATATATACATGTGCCTAAACTTCCTTATTTACTGACGAATGGACCAAAAGATGGATATTTGGCTTTCTTTTATTTTGGTGCTAGTTTCTTTTCATTATTTCCCGTTTTCTTTATTTTCGATATCATTTCTTCATTTTTCAATAAGAAGAAAGCAAAAGAAGTTTTTCTATTTTTTTCAATTTTGATTAAAGAAAAAATATATATTCACTTTTTTTAATGACCAATTTGTGAATTTTTTCTATCCATTGTTTTAATAATGTATTATTTTTTTCACGAAAAAATGATTCGAATTTTCAATGAAACCTTTTTCCATTGTATTTTATTTTATATATATATTTTTTTCGTTTTCTATTGTTTTATCATCTGTTATTTATATATATACATATCAATTATTAACCCTAAGAAATGAATTTTTTAATTTTATTCAAATCTTTTTGCTTTTTATTTATATTTAAATATAAATATATATATATATATTATATATATTGAGAAATTATTTTTTATAGTACATTAGGAAAAGGAAGGTTTATTCATTACTTCATCTTTAAAAATTTTTTTTTTTTTATTTTCTTTTTATTTGAATATTAATTGGGTATTAGGTTTGGTTTAGCCTTTAGTTATTATGATATTTAGTTATTATTTTAGTAGTATTTTTTTTTTCTTTTTTTTTTAATATATATATATATATATATATATATATGCAGTTAAAAATGAAGGTATTTTAATTTTTTTTAAAAAGATATTTATATTCATGTTTTTATTGGTTTTCTTTATTCTTTATTCAACTAAAGTGGAAAAAAAAAAATAAAATAAAATTTGGTAATGTTATATTATTTAATGCATCATATATTATTACATCACAAAATGGTTGTGGCTAACTAAATTTTCATATTTGTTTTTCAATTATTTAAATCTATATTGTGGTTTTTTTTTGTTTTTGAAATAAAATAAACAAATATAGCTGGTAAATATACATTCCATCCTTAAAATGATAAACATTACCAATTTTTTTTTTTTTTATCTAATTTAATTTTTTATTATTATTATTAATGAAAATAATGAAAATGTTATATAGAAAAGAACCTAACTTATTTTAAGAAATTTTTTTTTTTTTATCTCTTCGCAAATGTTACTTTCATTTCTTTATCATGTGTAATCTTAAATTTGTTAAGCACATCTTTTGCTACAGCTGCTTGATGATCAGCCTCATATTCCACAAAAGCAATGTCCGATTTACCAGGAACAAGACGCACTTCCTTGAAACCAGGATATCTTAAAGGAAAATCTTTTTTGTTAACCTAATTATCTTTAATTTTTTTTAAAAAAAGTATAAAAGAAAAATTTTAAAATGTACATACTGTTGGAATAAGTAACTTAACATCTCATCTGTAACATCTGGTGGTAAATTCTGTATATATAATATTCTATTAATCGGTTCCGCTTCTTCTTTAACCACAGTTGTAGCTGATGTAGTTTCTTCTACTTCAGTTTCTGTTAAATAATATGACTTGTGAGAAATGTAAAAATTAATATATAAAACTAAATAATATATTACCTATCTCAGGTGATTCAGATTCTATTTCATTTCTTCCATCACCTGCGGCTCTCTTAGTATCCGTTGTATCTATAAATCATTATAATCAAAAGTTAAAAAAAGAACAATAATTGCAATCAATTTAAAAAAGATCCAATATTTTTTATATTACCTTCTTCTTCACGTTGTCTTTTCTGTGCAGGTGCTGAAACTGGTTGACCATAGGTCTGTGCACGTTGAGCATTGGCACCTGAAGCAGCAGCTGCTGCACTGCCAGGTTTTTTCCATGTACCATCTAATTTCGCGACGGCTTCTGACTTACTTTTTGCGTATTCAATATTCTATACAAAAAAAAAAATATTTTTTTTTTTTTTTTTTTTTCGCGCATCTCGGGATGGACATTCTCGAGATAAAATTTCATCAAATTTGTTATATGATAGAGCATTTTCAGTAGCAAAGACTTAAAAAAATCTTTATATGAAAAATAAAATGCTTAACGACTCTATCTATAGAGTCATGTTAAAATAGAAGAAAAAAAAAAAAAATCGAAAATATTTTTAAAAAAAAATAACTCACCATTGGTTTATCATAAAAGTTAAATCCATTAAGTCCTCTCATAGCTGAAGTGGCACTTTGAATTTCTTTAAAAACAACGAAAGCTTGTCCACGCATTTTCATTGTTTTCAAGGCAACTATATCAAGAATACGTCCATATGCCGAAAATAAGGAATATAAAGATCTTTTTAATTCTAAAATTTTTTTAAAAAAAAAGGAGTCAAAAAAAAAGAGTAAAAATTTTTATTCAGAATAAAAAACCAATTTTTAAAATACCATCTTTATTAACTTTTTCATTTAAATTTCGAACATATAAAGTTTGATTTGGTAGTATACTAGTCATAATTGAAAAAAAGTTCAGTAAATCTATTTTCGAGATAAAAATTTGGTTTAACAATCTACAATACTATCACGTGCATAATAGAATAAATCGTTATAGATCATAGTAAAATAAAGTTTGAAAATTTAATTTTTTCTAAAAAAAAAAAAAAAAAATGTCAGCTAGTTCAAGTTATGAAGCTTTTCAACAAAGTATAAAAAAAGAAATTTTTTTTTTTTCTTTTAAAATTCACTTATTAAAGACCAAAACTATTAATATTTATCTCAAAAAGTTTTAAAGTCTGCAAAACATATTGCCACGATATGTGGAGCAGGACTTTCCGCAGAAAGTGGAATTCCGGTTAGTTTATATAATATATATATATATTTTTTTTAAAAAAAAAACGGGAAATAATATCCTTTTTCTCCTTTGTTATATAGACGTTTCGTGGTGAAGGTGGCTTTTGGAGAACTTTTGAAGCAACTGAACTTGCAACTCCAAGTGTATGTACTTAATTCTCTTTAAAAAACTTTGTTATTAATTTATTTTGTTTATTAGGCATTTAAAGCTAATCCATCGCGTGTCTGGGAATTTTATCATTATCGTCGAGAATTAGTATTAAAGAAACAAGCAAATAATGCTCATAAAGCTTTAGTGAATTTTGAAAATAAAGTACTTTCACAAACACCACAAAATCAAACATTTACTGTTATAACACAAAATGTTGATGGATTGTCGTCAAATTTAAAGAATATTATTGAAATGCATGGATCATTATTTAGGACTCGTTGTACTAAATGTGGTGATATTGAGAAAAATAATGATTCACCAATATGTGAAGCATTGAAAGGAACCGAAGATTCAAATTTTGATACGAATATACCTATTGAAAAACTTCCTTCTTGTACAAAATGTCAAGGATTATTAAGACCTGATGTTGTTTGGTTTAATGAAAAACTTGATCAAAATATTTTAAGTAAAATTCATGAAGAATTAGATAGGTGTGATTTACTTTTGGTTATCGGAACTAGCGGAACCGTTTACCCTGCAGCTGGGTATTCTAATTATGTTAAATTACGAGGTGGCAAAATTGCCATCTTCAATATTGAAGATACTGGAGATGCTGATTTTAAGTTGTTAGTATTTCTTTGTTTTTTTTTTTCTTAAGAAATATTTTTCTTAAAACTATTATTTTTTTTTTTAATTAGCATCGGTCCTTGCGGAGAGACTTTGTCGAAAGCTCTTGAAGTTTAATTTAATTGGATTCTAAATATGAGTCCCCTCAATCATAATCTATCTTTTATTAGCTGATTAGATTACATAATTAATTAAATTTTATTCTTAAATATTATTACATCTTTTACATTTTATAACTTATTTTCCATCAATAATTCAATAAAATAAATAAGAGATTTACAAAAAAAAAACAAAATGAAATTTAAAGAAAGATAATGATGTAATTTTTTTTTATCATAATGTATTGCCTCTTATTCTTCTAGATAATTTTCTATATCCATCTGCTGCAAGTTTACTTCTTCTCCATATTAATATTGAACATGACATGAATGCAAGAAACATATTGAGAAACTATAAAAAAGAATTAACAAGTTAAAAAAGAGTATATATATATGTATATATATTATTTAATTATTTAATTCATACCTGAAATTCAAAGTATTTTGTTCTTTCGAATTTAATTACTCTTTTACAAGGTTGAAATTTTGGTAAAGAATATGTGTTATTTCCAGCTGATATATCAGGTGAATCCAATTGACATTCAACAGGTTGTTTATTACCAAACTCATGACAATATTTTTCAAGTTTCTATAAAAGAAAATAATATTAATATGAATCTTATAATATAACAATGGATCTTTAAAACCGTGAATCTTTAAAATAATGAATCTTTAAAATAATAATTACCACTTCAAATACACCACAAGGTACGCATGGCCCAATTTCATGACATGTATAAATTGGTACTTTATCGTAATCAGTATCGTTATTATTGATTGTATTTGTTGGAGAGGGTAAAGAGGAAGGAGGTGGTAAATAATTATTATCTGATGAAGTTTGGGTCGGAGATGTATTTGATGATTCTTTTTGTTGTTGAACTTCTATACTACTATTAACAATCTCAACATTTGTTGTAGTTTCTGTGATTTCTGTTATATCTGCATGTATAACTACAGTAAGTAAACTAGAAAATAAAAAAAAAAACAAATAATTAATTTTTTTGTATTCAAGAAAATGTTATATATATCAGTAATATCACACAGAAAGATTTTTATAATACCATAAAAGACAAAGACATAATATTGTTATACATGAAGAAAATTGATTCATAATGAAAACTAATAAACTTTCAAATTTCAATTTTTTTTTAGTTTCTTCACACTTGAATATTAAAAAAACAAAAAAAGAATAATATTGGATAATATTAAGTTTATTAAGTTTTTTTTTTCAAAAATATTTGTTTAAAGATGTCAGAAAAAAGAAAGTTAAAAAAATGTTGAATCCAGTTGTTAAAATAGAAGAAAGAAGTAAAGTTTTATGAATGTTACAAACTCGGGGAAAGTCAATTAATTGAAAAAATCGGTATATTTATTTATTAATAATATCATATGACCTCATTAAATCGGCCAATAATATTTTTGTTAGAAACGAGAAAAACTTTTTTAAATGATTTATTTTCTTATTTCATAAATAGAATATAATTGTTTTGGGAAAAATTTTTTTTTTTTTATTTCTTCGTTTTTTCTACAATGGCTCGATTTGATACTTCAACAATTGGTATTTGTATTTCACTTTTACAAAATAATTTCAATCGAAATGCATCAACACCATTAAGATAATATCTATATAATCTTTTATCTCTAATAAATCCTAAATTATGATATAATGAAAGAGCTCCAAGATTTGTATATTCTGTTTCAAGTACGATCTAATAAATGAAAAAAAAAATTTTTAATATTTGAAAATTTAAAGTATTATCATTTTTTGCGTATTGTACTGTACCTCATCAGCGTTTTTAAGTTTCATGGCATTGATAACAATTTTTACTAATGTAGTTCCTGATTTTTTTTTAAAAAAAAATTGTAGGTTATTAAGATTATTTTTTTTTTTTAAAAAAAAAAAAAAAAAATTTTTGGACAAAAAAAAAATTAATACAAAAAAATTTTGTTTTTTTTTTGTTATAATTAATTAATTAAACACACCATGAAACATAAATTAGGCCAATTGTTTATGAAATAACGATATGTGTATATTGAATAGGGTTCAGATAAATCATTTTCAATTAAACTCATAATTCCAGGAAGTTGTAATTCAGAAGAGTAAGGTACATAAGTTATATCTGGACTATCTTTTGTGAGTTGTTTAATGATAGAAGAAGTGGAAGCAGTTGTTTTTTGCTTATTTTTGACCTTATCCATAATTATAAATTTATGAAAGAAAAAAAAGAGAAAAAAGGGACAAAAAAAAGATAAAATAAAATAAGAAAGTTAAAAAGAGAGAGAGAGAAAGAAAAAGGAAAGTTCTAAAAAGCTCGCTTCGCTTATTGATAATCTTGTAATACCAATTATGCACAATTACGCATGGTTTAATGTCAGGCAGAATTAAGTATATAATGCTAGTCAAATAATATAGTGTATATATATATTAAGACAATTTTAGATAAAAAGGTAAAAAGGAACAAAAGAATAAAAATGAATTATGTCAAAAGCCGATCCATGACGAATTTTTTCGAATTCCTTTTATCCAATAAGTAAGGTAAAAAATTTTTTTTTTACGATAAAAAAAGGAATTTCGGGAAACAAACGAAACAAATTAATAAAAAAATCACACGGAGTAACACACAATGACAAACAAGAATATCACCATACTATTGAGATTTACAAACATCGCATGATTCAAAGTCTAGAAAATACGAAATGTATTGGTTAGTGTAATACACATAATTCATGATCATTTACAGTACAGGAAAAAAATGAGTATTTACAAACTATACAGAGTAGTTTAAAGTCTAAATTAAATGCATGTAATGCATGAAGTTTATATAATATTATAGTGTGGCAAAACATTATAAACAACACAACATATTTGTATCACAATCTCTACATTTTTGTTTTGCTTTTCATTTCCAAAGTTGTAAACAAAAAAAAAAAAATCAACAAAACGAAAGAAAAAAGCGCAGTATATTCTTACCATATTCGCTAAGCCAGGAGACTTACAATCACAAAATGACCAAGCCAAAGGATTTTATCATAAATGTTACAACGATGATACTTTTATGCTTAGCAAAAAGAAAAAGAAAGGATAACGGCTTACTAAATAAAGAGGGATATATGTATATATATATGCTTATCTTACAATTTCGTAATAACATGACGATCTATGTAATATAAAATGAAATGATTTTCATGATATTCCATCCAATTAAAATTTACTTATCAGTTACGGTATGATTTGAATGAAAAAAAAAAAAATGGGTTATTCTAAATTTGGATAGTAGAATGAATTTTACAAAAATTTCTTTAGAGAATATCATTTTATAATTTATATTTGACATTTAAATGATTTAAATGGGAACGAAAATATATATATATATATATATATATA